ACAGGAAGGCCTGGCGCGATGTGGTTCATGGGGTCATGAAGAGTCGGACACGACTTAACGACTGAACAAAAGTAAATTTAAATAAAGATGGCAAGAAGCAACTATTTAATCAAATGATGTATGGAATTACAGTATTCTATCTTTAATAGCTTCCAGAGTATTAAAAAGGATGAAGCAAGTCTTAAATTCTAAAGGGAAGGTGTAACACCAGACTGGAACATTTTCTTGTTCCCCCTCAATTATACTGCTATAATGAATGAAGCTTGGGATAACCAAGAATAGATTTTGAGAAAGACATTCTTGACTACTTCTACTTCTTAGGCTTTTATTGATTTGTTGAAAGAAGTTGAATAAACTCACTTAACAATTGGCTTCATAAAATGATAAGCTATGATTATTGTTTTGGCTAAGAGAGACAAGATGATCAAACTCTCCTTCTTAAAAATTATAATAATTATAAAAGAAAATCAGATCCACCAGCACTAGAAACTGAAAAGGACTCATCTAAAGACCAAGCTATATATACTTCAGTAGGTAGAATGAGAAATTCTAGGCAGCTTCCAACTTGCCTATCTCCTCTAAAGGAAAAAAATGGAAAATATTTGTAATTATTATTTTTTCTTTATGGATCTGTAGATGAAGCTGGAAATATTTTTAAAGCATATATGATACAGGGATTCCTAAGTTTCTGGGAGAAGCAATGATGATGTCAAAATGATGCATCATGACATCATTGCGAAAATAACACAGTGCATTTGGTTCAAGTGTGTAATTCTCATCATTTGGGCAAGGATGTCATGACACCACCCCACTACGCCACTTCCCTTTCTGTGGTCACCCACGCAGAGGTTATTGAAGCAGACTTAACCACCTAGATCCTGGGTGATGTGTACATCTCCTTCTCTTTCTACTTCCTCTTATATAAGCAGAGGGCTTCATAGCTGATTTTTCCAAGATTTCTGAATGGAGACAGACATACTCTGAGGGCATATTCAGTTTTTTTGTATATAGTATATTTTGCATATTTTTGTATAAAGTAATAATTGGAATAATTAATTATTATTATTATTATTTCTGAAGCTGACTAACACTGTCATTCATAACAAGAGGCAGTGTTCAGCTCTGAATGAAATTCAGATTTCAGGAACCTTTCTCTATACAGAGTGAGTTTGTACTAGGATCTAGCTTGACAAGATGAAGCCACAACACCTAGCTGTGGCTGACACCTTTTTATTAATAGGTTTCCTCGGTGATACTTTAAGATGAGAGTTTATTCTTTGTGAGAGTGGAACTCAAGGCAGAAAGAAACGAAGCCTTTCTGCATCTGACTTTGCTGCAGGGCATTCTTTCAAGCCACTCCAGGAGTCAAGCAGACAGAACGTTTTATAAACTCAGATGAAAAACCTGTCCAATGCTATTCTTGTAAACCTATAGTTGCCAATTCCAGGTGAAGGAAAATCCTGGAGTTTGCCCACATCACCACTCAACAATTGTGGATGTGGGATACACGTGCTTCTCTGTGTGCATGAATTGACCCTCCCCCTCCCCACACACCAAACATTTTCTTTTATGCTTTGAAAGGTTTCCTTGTTTCTCACACACATCCCTCAAGTTGGCTTAAGTCTCTCCAATATAGCTGCCCTACCCATCTAATAAATTATTTTTGTTGCTTCTGTTGCTGTAAAATTCTTTGCTGGAGGTCAGCAGTAGCATTTGGGGATAACCGGTTATAGGAATGGATTACCCTTTCATCCCCAAGGTCATCAGCAAAACTAGAATTGTACATGCATGCCCCCATACACACACTCACATGCACTACACATAGTGTCAGCCCTTCAAGGTAGACCAGACTAGGAGACCAATGCCATCTAGGGCAGGACTACTTTATGGTAAAGCTATAGTAACAGAATCTTGCAAGTCTGAATGTGCTTCCCCCTCCCTCTCTTTATCTTTGTGAAAACTAGGGAAGGGCTTGCCTGAGACATTTACTCACATTACTTTCCTAGCCCGGGCACAAGCCCGTCCATTACTTTTCTGTCCATTACTTTGGTAGCGGCTCTTCCTCCTGTCCTTCAAGGCCATTCCCTCTTCCCTCTACACATACATGTCTGCACCCAAACTCACTCCTATAGAGATACATACTCATATTTATCCAGACATCTGGGCAAGCTTTCGTTCTCTACTGTCCTAAGCTTGGGACTCACAATAATGGCTGGATGTGCAAAATGGTTGTGAAAATATCATTTATGTGATATGTTTTGGACACTGTATAAATATCAGCTGAATATGAGCTACCCTTTAGAACGGGGGTAAGTAACGTTTTTTAATGAAGCTATACTTTCCTTTTTTATTTTTTGTCCTGCTTCTGTGGCTCACAGAACAGTTTGACATCACGCAAATAAGTGGAGATGAATGTTTCAGTGCACTTTTTAACTTTTCATTTTGGGAGCAGGAAACACTTGTGGGGCAGGTTAAAATACTCAAAATCGCCACACAAAAAAGGGAAGGGCTTTGATTGCCATCTTGATGTCTTTCTTTCTTTTTTTTAACATCTCTCTTTCTCCCCACCCCATCTCTGCTTTAGAAATTCTGTTTTGCAAAGGAGTTGTGCAAACACATCAAATATTTGAGATAACTCAACAGTTTGTTATGGCAAGGCAGCCATGTGCTTTATTCTGCACAGGTTTTTAATCTAAACACATCAGTTTAAAATGGTGTGGTTTTCTCTTGAGCATTTTTTCCCCACCATTTTTATAAGGCCATGATAAGACCCTAGAAATATTGGTTGGTTTGGAAAGCAGGACTGAAAACGCTGAGCACCGGGAAATGCAAAAGCAAGGACAGATGAAAAGAAGAGAATGTAACAAGTACAGTGGTACCTCAGTTCACGAGCGCTTCTGTTCACGAACAATTCGGTTCACGAACAGCTCCGTTCGCAAAATTTTGCCTCTGTTCACGAACAATTCGGTTCACGA